AGTTCTTTCAGAGCTGTTATCTCAGGAGCATTTCTCGAAAGAGCTCTCTCAGCCCCACTTACCTCACACACAGTGTTCCCTCTAAGATGAGTTAGTGTGAGCTAGCTCTCAGTTTTTTAGCCTCCAACACACACATTTTTGTCTTTGCTCAGGAAGGATGGCTCCAGGACAAACTGATTTATGCAGTAGCCAAATCGCTCGCTCACAACTTTAATGCCAGTAGCTCACAAAGTAGAATTTTTGCTCACAAGACTTCACAGCTTAGAGGGAGCATTGCTCACAGAGTGTCTGTTGTTTTTTTTTTAAGTATTTTATTGTAATTTTGTACATCGTATGCAAAATAGACATGTTAATTTTACAACATATTTGGAGCATCTTATCCATGTATTTCTAACCACCTATCTAGTTTCTGCCATCTTTTCTTAAACACACTGTCAAATTTTCCCGCCAGTAACGTATTTATTTTGACCATTTCTTTTATGTCCATGATTTTTATAATTAATTCTTTATCTGGTAATTTATCAGATTTCCAACATTTTGCTATAGCTATTCTAGCGCTTCTGAGAATATAGAGTGTCAAACGTGCGTCGTTATGGTTTATACTACCAGGCAACATGTTTAGTAAGTATACTTCTGGGTTCAGTGGTAATTCTATTTCTGCTATTTCTAGAATGAGTTGTTTTATTTTTTCCCAAAATTTTGCTACTTTTTCGCATCTCCACCAGATGTGATAGTAGGAACCAACATTTCTTTCACATCTCCAACAGTTCCCTGACATGTTCTTGTAGCATTTTAATGTTTTGATCACAGAGTGTCTGTTGTGGGGCGGGGAAGGGAAAGGAGATTATAAGTAGCTCTGAGACTCCTGGTGAAAGGTGGGGTATAAATCTAATCTCTTCTCTTCTTGTGAGGCAGGTGGGGCTGAGAGAGTTCTGAGAGAACTGGGACTGGCCCAAGGTCATCCAGCAAGCTTCATGGGGAGGAGTGGGGAATCAAACCCGGTTACCTGATTATAGACCACCTGTTAGCCAAATTGCCTTATTTCTTTAATAAAGTTAGGGAATTATGAATATTAAGTGGCAATAGGCATTAAGGGAGCAATGACCTGTGTATACCAGAGTCCAATTTTATTCAGATCCCCAGAAATAGATCAGGAGACTAGATCTTAAGTATGATTTCTTTTACTAGATAATTCACACACACATACAATTGAAATAAAACAATCACACACTCAAGCAATGCAGAACTAGGATATTAGAGGGAATGATACAGCGACGGTTGCATGAGCAAGAAATATCGTTGGTGGGGTGATACTCTACCTGTCCGATGCAACAAGGTGATCTTGTAACGAAAAATGGGGAAAATACTAGGGAAGGGGCCGTGTGATGACCAACAGCACACGTGGTAGACTTCAGAAAGTGTTACGAATAAAGTCAGGTTGCAGTCACATGCGCCAGAAAACGGGGGAGGGGGGAGTGAGGCTATTTCTTCTGGAAGAATTAGACCCGGAGTTGCACAATCTCACCGCCCTTTGAAGCTGTGGGCGCAGTCCATCAGTGCGTGATCAGACGCAACTGCGGGTGAGTTGGGGGGGGGTTCTGCCATTTCCCCCCCATGTGCTTAACCGAGGGATCGATGAATCACACCTCGGCACCGAGGGCTCCCTATGGAGTTTGTGATGATGCACATGAGCTGCGGTGGCTCAAGTGGTTAAGACGCTGAACTGCAGGCTGTGGAAGGTCAGTAGTTCAGCAGTTCAAGATCCGAGTGTGCCGCATGACGGAGTGAGCTCCCATCTCTAGTTCCAGCTCCTGCCAACCCTACCAGTTCGAAAGCAAGAAATTGCAAGTAGATAAATAGGTACCACTTTGGTGGGAAGGTAACAGCGTTCTGTGCGCCTTGGTGTTTAGTCATGCTGGCCACATGACCACGGAAACATCTTCGGACAGCGCTGGCTCTTCGGCTTTGAAACGGAGATGAGCACCGCAACCCTAGAGTCGGATTCGACTGGCTTTCAAGCAAGGGAGACCTTTACCTTTACATACTGCAAGGGGGAGGACAACGGCACGGAGTCAGGAGGGCCTGATCAGACCCTCCCAATGCCACGAGAGCACGCTGGAGTGATCAGACATGGGAAAGTCCATCTGTGGCTCATTGCAACCTGTTTACTACTGGATTCTCCCCAGTGTCTTTTAACTCCGCTTCTGCAGCAGAGCAGAATGGATTGCCGATGGCTGCGGGGCATTTCCCAGATGTTGTTGTCTGATGGCGCCCTTTAAATCCGCCCGGTTTTCATGCCTATGTCGGGTCTGATTGTGCATATGATCGCAGCCTCAGCTAGGTAGGGTGCGGTCAGCAGAGGTCATTTCGGGGGGGATCGCGGGGGATCGCAGTTCCCCCAGGTGAGGTAAGGGGGCGGGGCACAGGACGAAGCCCCGCCCCCTGCTTCCTGCCGCCCTGCTTCCGGCCCTCATTCAGCCAGGAGGAGGCAGGAGAAGAGGGAGGGTAAGTTGCTTCCTCCCTGCCTCTCCCCACCCCTGCCTGCCTGGGGCCAGGGAGGGGCTTTGTGGGGCTTCCTTGCACTCCCACCGGCCTTGCAGGTCCACCACCGGGCCCCTCATGGGGCTCGTCAGTGGAGCTGCAAGGCCGGCGGCGGCAGCAGAGAACGTTGGGGGCAGGGTGTGTGGCCTTATGACACACTTCCGGTGATGTCAGGGGGTGTGGCATATGCTAATGAGTTATGCTAATGAGTTCCCCTAGCTCTTTTTCTATGAAACGACCCCTGCCTGGCGGTCAGGTAGGCAGGAGGAGAGAGAGAGCACAATGAGCAGATGCTCTCTTTATATACCCTAAGAGGGGCTTGGGGCATGAGCCGCCAAGGCACGTTGTCCCCAGGAACATACTAGAAGCTGCCAGTTCCTGAATGGGCTAAAAGAATGGAATTAAGTGTTGGGCAATTGACATAATGTTTGCTAATAGTGACACCTCTAAGAGTGGACAAAGGAAAAGAAAAGGCAGTCGTTCCAGGGGCTTGGCCAGCCAACAATCCGGTGATCTGCATCGTCATTATCTTGATGGGTGGTGGGTGTGCTTGGCTGCTCAGGTAATCTCGTTGCGACCAAGTTCTATAGTTAACTTGTGGATGAGTACGTGCAGTATTGCTAGGAGAAGGGGGGGGGAAGGTTGCCTGTGTGTTGGAGAAGACGTCTTTCAATGGAGTCCTCTCCAGGAACACTCAGGCTTCTGGTGTAAAGCATGGCTTCTACATGCTGGCTGCTGCTTATTTCTGGCATCAGGGAAATTGAGTCATCTCCTGCATGGACGCAGGGGTACATAGCACTGGGTATGTCCGTGGGTTCACATCTTGCTGGCACACTGCTTCCAGTTTGGTGTAGTGGTTAAGTGTGCAGATTCTAATCTGGGGGGACCGGGTTTGATTTCCCCGCTCCTCCACTCGCAGCTGCTGGATGACCTTGGGCAAGCCACAGTTCTGTCAGAGGTGTTCTTGAAAAAGAGCAGTTTCTGTCAGAGCTCTCTCAGCCCCACCTACCTCACAGGATGTCTGCTGTGGGGAGGGAAAGGAGTTTGTAAGCCGCTCTGAGACTCTGAGTGAAGGGTGGGATATTAATCCAATCTCCTCCTCCTCCTCTTCTTCTGTCTGGGAAGTTGGCACCATCATCGGGCTACCGTATAGTTCAGTCCCTGGCATCTCTATCATACAGTTCAGCTTACAGCCATAGTCCGTAGCCTTAGAAACACTGCACAAGGCTCTTGCAGGGCAACACACCACTCTTAACCACTACACCACACTGGCTCACAATCAGATGAGTTCTTTGCTATGGATTTAGTGCTCACCATAAGGACAACGATAACTATAACCCATCTCACCACACTGGAAGTCTGTGTACGACTCAGCCCTTAACTACGTGCTGGATTTTTAACTTGTGGGCGATTCTCTCCAAAACAGTAAAGAATTAAGAGCAAACTCAGTAATGTTTTAAAAAATGCATTTATTTTGCGAGATCGCAGTTGGAATAAACGGTGAGGACTCCAGACGAAACTCAAGAGGAACAGATGCCTAACATTACAGTTTCTTGACAATATTTTCTAACTTTAAAAAAAAAATCAGTAGGAAAACTCTGGTTGACACAAGAGCAGAATTTACCAGTTTGTAACTACCATCAGACTCATGCACAACTCAAAGGAGTAACAAAATCAAAGTCTAGTTTACTGAACAATACTCAGAATTGACATTCTGCACATAACACGTTTTATTATTGTAACCAGAACTGAATCTTTTAAAAGCGAACTTGGTAAGCAGGGGAATTAGGAGCACTTTCCAGTATTTAAATGCTTAGCTTTGGAGCATCTAAAACAGGGGTGTCAAAGATGTGGCCCGAGGGCCGGATGAGGCCCCTGGAGGGCTTCTATCAGGCCCGCAGTGGAACTGGTTGTCTTCTGCGTCTTCTTCCAGTTTTGCTGCTGCTGCGTCATCGTAGGTTTGCAGCTTACAGATACACACCTGAACAGCATACTCAAGATTGCAACAGCATAGACATTTTGATGTAATAAATCAGAGCAAGAGGTGTCAGTTATCAGAGACTTAAATAAACAAAAGATTGCCAGAATGCTAATGTTTCAAGCATGTTTTTATTTTAAGTTAAAAAGTCTTTGTGTCTGTATCCTTTATTATGGTTATATCTTCGCTACCTGGCATTACATTTAATAACAGACATGGCCCGGCCCAACAAAGTCTCATTAATGTCAGATCTGGCCTCATTACAAATGAGTTTGACACCCCTGATCTAAAACATTTTCTAGAGCAGGACAGAAACTTTACGGAAATGATGATTATTATTTTTTTTACACAAATAAATGTCAGCTAATATTTGACCTGTTTTAAGCGCTACGTTTCAGAGTCCTTTTTGATGCTGAATCTTTAACTTCTTTCACGTATCGACAGTTTCCTCAGGACTAGTCTTCTGATGTTCACGTGCACGTTATAAAATCTTCTTTTTGCATTTACAGGTGGCTTTGCAGCTATCGATGAGCAATTTGCTTTTACAAGAGTAGACCTTTTTCATATCTCTGCAGTTGAAAGCAGTATCCGCATACTGACAGGGATTGGCTGAAAGGAACCAAACCAACAGAACGTTAGATGGGAAAGGCAAAGAACCAACCAGTATTTAAAGGGATTTTTTTTTGATAACTCTCCCCAGCCCCAAAGACATCCAGGTGTCCTTGACCAGGGCCTTGGCCTTTTCGGTCCTGGCCCCAAACTGGTGGAACTCTGCCGAGTACCATCAGGGCCCTGCGGTACCTTATAGAATTCCGCAGAGCCTGCAAGACTGAGATGTTCCACCAGGCCTTTGGTTGAGGACAGTGACAGTTTTTCATCTAGGCTGACGCACTTTTTCGCCTCTACATTTGCCTTCCCCCGTCCCCCCTGCCCGCAAAGTGACCAGCAATCTTCAATGGGCTTAATTTGTTTGCCATCTGTTTTAAAATGTCTTATTTGATTTTTATTGCTTTATCCAGTGTATGTTGTCATTCATATTTATAGTAAAACACTAAATCGTTGAGTATAGTTTTACAATTTTTAAATCTTTTTTATTATGCTAAGTAGAGATGTTTAGAGTCTTTTTTTTAATGATTCATTAGCAAGAACACAGCTTATTCATGAAGCTCGACGGTACATTCAGAATAATATAACTCCTGTAGTAATATTTACAGTCAGTAATGAGGTCTTATCTTAGGCTCATGGTCCTAACGTGATTCACTTATTACAAAGTGTCACACTTGGGAAGTTTTGCCATTTGAAATGTATTGAAGACCTAGTCACATCATAGCTTAATATTGGCAATTCCCAGTCACCAGGAATTAAACGCGATAGCGTGGCACCAATAGAATATATGAAAGAGTATTAAGAATCTTGAAACGTTGTCTTCAATACTTCAAGACTGCGATGAATCAACAACAGACAAACCTGATTAAGAGTACGCAGACGGAATGATTACTAGAACGCCGTTGTTTGTTTTAAGTTGTTTTCCCCTTTGTAATAAGTGAATTACAGGAGTTATATTACTCTGAATGTACTGTCGAGCTTCATGATTAATGAATACGCTGTGTCCTTGTTAATGAATCATTCAAAAAATACTCTAAGCATTTATACGTAGCATAATACCAAAAAAAGATTTAAAAATTGTAAAACTATACACGGTGATTTAGTGATTTACTTAGTTAAATACACCATGGTCCGGTTTGTTATAATTCATATTTACAGTAACAGGGATTGGTAAAGAAGAGGAAGAGGAGGAGGAGGAGGAGGAGGAGGGAGAGGGAGAGGGAGAGGGAGAGGGA